TTTTTTTAAGATGGGATTTCACCATGTTGGTCAGGCTGGTCTTGAACTCCCGACCTCAGGTGATTCGCCCGCCTTGGCCTCCAAAGTGCTTGGATGTGGCATGAGCCACCACACTTGGCCAAAAAAAAATTTTTTTTAAGTAACAGATTACTTAAATAGGTAAGATGTTCACCTATAATTTAGAAACTATGATTTGTCAAATAAAATTTTCCAAAATACTGAAACAACATACCTTGCTTAAAGCTCAGCCTTGTTTTGTCCATTTCTGACTAGAGCCCAATAGCCATCAAAAGATGATAGAGGCAGGGCATGGTGGCTCACACCTATAATCCTAGCAATTTGGGAGGCCAAGATAGAAGGATTACTTGAGCCTAGGCGTTTGAAACCAGCCTGGGCAACAGAGTGAGACCCGATCTTAATAAAAATAAAAAAAGAAAAGATAGGGGACAGGTTGTACAGGAAATCAGAGTGGGTTATTTATTTATCTATTTATTTATTTTTGAGACAGAGTTCCACTCTTATTGCCCAGGCTGGAGTGTAATAGCTCGACCTCAGCTTGCTGCAACCTTGGCTCACTGCAACCTCTGCCTCCCAGGTTCAAGCAATTCTTTTGCCTCAGCCTCCCAAGTAGCTGAGATTTCAGACACTCACCACCATGCCTGGCTAATTTTTTGTATTTTTAGTAGAGACAGGTTTCACCATGTTTGCCAGGCTGGTCTCGAACTCCTGACCTCAGGTGATCTGCCCACCTTGGCTTCCCAAAGTGCTGGGATTAGAGGCATGAGCCACCGTGCCCGGATAGAGTGGGTATTTTTAAGAAGATAGCCATCCTCGTAATTTCATTAAATACTTGGTAGTAAGGTATTATGAATAATTTTACCAGAGTTATTAATGTACTTATTAGAAATCAAGAGTAGGCTGGGCGAGGTGGCTCTGCCTGTAATCCCAACACTTTGGGAAGCTGAGGCTGTTGGATCACAAGGTCAGGAGTTTCAGACCAGCCTCGACAGCATGGTGACACCCCGTCTCTACTCAAAATACAAAAAATTAGCCAAGCATGGTGGTACAGGCCTGTAGTCCTAGCTACTTGGGTGGCTGAGGTAGGAGAATTGCTTGAACCCGGGAGGTGGAGGGTGTGGTGAGCCAAGATGGCACCACTGTACTCCAGCCTGGGTGAGACTAAAATTCCATCTCAATAAATAAATAAATAAATAAAAAATAAAAAGAAATTAAGAGTAAATGCTAAAAACATTTTATATTTTCAGAAATGTAAATACTTTCATATTCAAAATTGCTGGCAGAGCGTGGTGGCTCATGCCTATCATCCTAGCACTTTAGGAGACTGAGTTGGGTAGATCACTTGAGGTCAGGAATTCGAAACCAGCCTGGCCAACATGGTGAAACTCCATCTCTACTAAAAAATACAAAAATTAGCCAGGCATGGTGGAGCATGCCTGTAATTCCAGCTACTTGGGAGACTGAGGCACACCAGAATGGTCTGAACCCTGGAGGCAGAGATTGCAGTGAGCTGTGATCGAGCTACTGTACTCCAGCCTGAGCAACAGAGCAAGACTGTCTCAAAAAACAACAACAAAAACCCCACAAAACTCCCAAAAAGGCCAGGCAGGTGGCTCATGCCTGTAATCCCAACACTTTGGGAGGTCAAAGCAGGAAGACTGCTTGAGTTCAGGAGTTCGAGACTAGCCTGGGCAA